CAGTTAAAATTTTGTAGCAACCCAGTTTTTCTTCCTAATTCATAGGGTTATAAAACTCATGTGTTATACTTACTACATTATGTATGAATCCCATATGACTCCATTTATAATCTAAATGCCCACGAAATCAATTTTATTGAATAAATAAGCAGGACCAACAGCTGTTCACTGTCTGGGTGATATGGGTAGATTTATTCCTAACACTGAACGGTGTTAAATCTGGAAGTAAGAATAAAGAATCAGAATGTTCTACATCTCACTATATTCCGTGCAACTGTACGAAATTGATCAGAGACATTATAAACCAACTAATTCATCCTAAGATTCTTATGTATTGAAACGACGGTCAAATACACATTTTTACTGAACTCTCATTGTTTTACGCCTAAAAATATGAATTTTTCATACATTTAAGTATATGAATGGAGTGCGAATCAGTAAATAAACAATTAATGTACGGCAACTCAGGAACTAGGGTCATTTACATAGTAATTTATTTTCAGGTAATATAAAGTAAAACTGAATGATGTTAGCTGGATGGGGCCAGTTGGAGGAAAGCCTTGTTTGACCTAGGCTTGTCGCTTGTTGACACTCGTCAGGAAGGAGTTTCTGTAAACTCGAGTGAATTGATGTCCCGCATGAGGTTCAAACCCACGTCGCCCAGTGTTGCCGTCGGCGACGTAACCGTTGGGTTATTTCGGTCACTAGTTACGTCCTGTAAGACTGAATTAGATAAATCCATTGGTCACTGGACAGCAACCAACTTCATATTATCTTGTCTCGAGTGCTGACTGAATTCTATCTATGATTTTGCAATGTGGTCACCACGGTAGGAGACTCATCACTGCGATGATGTATGTTAGTTAGTTGGAGGCGATTGACAGGAAGCCCTGGTTTATCACTTTTTGGCACACGTCAGGAAAGTATATCTTCATCCTAATATCCATCGAAAGTCCACCGTGATGATGAGCCTCCTAACTTTGTAACCACGTGGCAAAGTGATTGATAGAGTTTGGTCAGCACTCAGAACTAGACAACATGAGATTGGTTGTTCTTCAGTGACCAGTCAATGTAAAGTTTAGTATTATGTAACACTTGAATAAGCATTCAGGCAAAAATATCTGAAATCAAAAGATAACTGTACAGGGATTTGCAAATAACTTACAGAAGAGATTATAAGCAATGAATACAAGTAGACACGAAATTTTACAAACATGAAATAATTATTATATACGAAGGCAAATAAGCCTAACTCCCTAGCCGATTTCAGTCCATGATGAATACTACCCACGCAAATTCAAATAACAAAATGACGTCAAAGCTATTACAAATGTTTGGGTGAACCTCATAATTTTCCATGTCGTTTATTTATACAGTAAAGAAAAAATGAGGACTAATTCCATATGGTAGTCTATTCGGAATGTCATGTATTTTTGAGAACGATTTATTTGTCTTTTCTGAATAATCAGTATCTATCAGATACATATGCAGAGAACTAGTGGTTGCTCTGCCTCATCCTTTACCCAACCACGCAAATGGGTACCCTTTCGTGAGTTCACAAAAGTCTGTAATGTCTTTGGAACTTCATTATTAATTGCTTATTCATACTTGGTTTTCACTAGAACTAGTACTACAGAATAACTTATGAGAACAAGGGTTACAACTGCAGGCAGTTCCAGAAAGTTCCTCTGAATAGTTCCCACAAGCTTAGTCACATAATATTCTATATCTTTATTTGCAGTAACATGGTTACAGTAGCATAGACTCATTTGCATTTAAAAGATAACTAGCAAGGATATTGTATTATTCATAGTAGCATAGAACGGAAATAAGCTGTAGGAATATTGTTGCACATACAGTCACCACTAATGAATTCATCAGACATAAGTGATGCACATATCATCAAGGTTCCAAATATTAATTTCAGTTTGTCTTGCTGCACAGGAGCGGTTAAATTAATAAATACACAATGGTCTGGTTAGAAAAAGAACTCTATATTTTCTTCTCAAAGAAAGCATAGCTCTGTTTGTACACCTTAATTCTAACATGACCGTACTAAAAGTACCTACTAGGCTTCTTAGTGAGGGATAGTCAATGCCTGTGAAAAGGTATCTCCTTATGATCTGAAATGGACCAAACCCCTCTGTTGTGGTTAATTTATCAATCTTTATTTGTCTGTTGATATTCCATAAATGTGCTTTACTGCATAGAAAGGTTCACTTTTACAGATGAAGACTAATAGGTTTTCATTGAACAGATTTATTGAGATCGTCCTCAATGTTATCCTCAGAATTTTCCGAGATACTTATGCTTGTCAAAAAACCTTGATCATTTAAGGTATGACAACACACAAAAATCATCACCCTACTTGTGTCAGTTAAAGAAACAGTTTGCTCATGGTGTCTTCGAAAAAGATTAGACACTTTTTTCAAGAGTTCATTTACCTAAAATCTAAATCTGGTAACATAAAGCTCTGTGGTTAAAAAACACAATGTGCAGCTCCTTTATTGTATTTCTCTTGCTGCAAATCAGTTACAAACAATGGTCATTTAAAAAATCATGTACATCTGCTTGTGAACCATACTTTCTTCGACAAGACGTTAGAAATGACGATAGAGATTATTCCTGGCATATAGGTTTACATTATTAAACGAGGTACCTGAAGTCGAAGGTTTGAAACAAATGCATTATTCATGTACTGCAATACTTGAAACCTTAGTCACCTCTTCTTATTCTTTTCGTTTCGAGGTTATCTGCATCTTTTAAGGCCAACTTCAGTTCTTCGTCTTCCATGCTGTTACTTTCCATCTTAATATGGTACTATGAGATTTGACGGTCAAGAATACTAGCAATAATTAATAAGAACGTTGTCTGTCTGTCTGTTTTACTAGGGTCTACCACTCCTGATTTAACGAAGTTTATGTACTCAGATATTTTCACTGACACTAGTCGACCACTTAAGAGTTACTCAGTATCTATTCCAGATATCTAGAAAATTCTGCTACCCCTATGACAATGGGTAGGGGAAACATTATAAGTTGTATCTGAAGTTTGTTAATTTACCTTAGCATCAACAGGAATAAAAAATGTCACGACAAACAACACCGTTTGAACAAGCAGTACATCTCAAAAACAAGTTTAAATCGGATTGGTATCAGATCAAGGGTTTAAATTATCCCAAGTAATACGAATTTCATAAACATATTTTGGTGATTGACTCAAAGTTAGCGTCCAAAATTTTCCCAGACATCTGCAACTTTAATGGTTAAGTTATTTCTTTTTTTATTAGGCTGGAATACAAACGAAAACTTCTTTAAAACAAGCCCCAAAGTTATCTTAGCCAAATTGACTTCGGTTGCACTGAATACAGATAAATGGATATCACAATAGTGAAAAACTGTCTCAAAAGTTTACCTAATATAGTTCCAACTAAATTTTATTTATTCTGTGCTATGTCTTGACTTTCATGTTGTTGAAAAGCATATATGTTTTTGTATTTTACTTGGCAAGCTAATTAATTGAAATTCTGAAATTATTGTACAGTAAGACGGATGACTGTTGAAAAATTGACATTTGGACTGAACACTGCAGACTTAACCAGTAACTGAAACGTATTTAAATATATCAGTGCCATCTTAAATATAGTTCCGAGTACTTAAATTTCTTCCTTAGGGTTCCTCATAGTACACAAAAAAGCTTTCAGGAACATGGGTGCTTCAAAATATATTTGCTTCAGAGTAACTGATTCTTTCAAAGTGATAATGAAAAAAGTGTGAATTGTATTACATAATATGAGACTACACAACTGAGGAAGGAAATAATGAACATGTATAACAGTTAAAACCTGCCTAATTTCTTAGTATATAAGGCTTAGAAAACGCATTTTAACCAGAAAATGAAGAGAATGAATAGATTTTTGTGTTTTGAAAAAAACTCCAGTTTTGATAACTATACTCGAAGTACTTAACTAATGTATTGTACATTCCCTTTCAAGTAATCCTCTTGTTTCTTAAACAATGTCAGACAATTCTTTTGAATTAAATAGGGCACTTGACTGATTGTCAATTCACTTCTATGCGATCTTACCCCCCACTGTGAATTAAACGAGTGGTGTAGGCATTTTTCTTTACTCAGGAAGACGCCATTTATTTTTAATGCAGTAGTACAGTTTAAGAAATGACAACTGGTTACAAGCTAATTCAATCACTGAAACCTTCAGAGTCATATATTTTTGAGATGAATGGGGATTTTTAATTTAGAAGTAGTATTCATCATGGACTGACATCAGTTGGGGAACCATTGAAGATCTGAGAGCACTGGACAGCTGTTTCCTCCTGGTATGGGACTCAGCAGTACGCACTCACGACCCGGCTAGGGGTTGAACCCAGGACCTACAGGTTTCACGGCGAACGCGTTAACCATTCAGCCACTGGGTTGGTTTCCATTGGTTCACAATTTTCAACTTCTGTCAATTCACTACATAGCGCAACTGTCACCCAAGGTCTTCAGTTAGCATCCACTTCACTTCCGACTGGTTGACCCTACAGGTCACGGCTTCTCATTAGAGCTTTCCAATATCCATGTGGAAGCAAGTCACTAATGAGCACAACTGATGTTAGTCCATGATGAAAACTACTTCTAAATTCAAAGTCATATGTTAGATTATTGGCAAACTAATGAACTATTCAACTGCATTCTAACAATTTTCCTACTGATTATAACTTAAGCATTTCTTCTACTGTTTGGATCCGGCATGCTGTCATCTAACCTCAGCGTGGTACTGTGGATTTAAAATGTTGCAATAAATGAAGAAATCAATCAAAATTACGCTCAGCGTTATTCATTTCACACCAAATACATACGTTTTTATTAGTTTATAAATTGTCACCTCACTTACTGACAAAATTACCACAGATAGATATCAACTGAAAGGTTAGACTTTTTCCTAATTGATTATTATGTTTTATCACGTTATATTACCATCATTTTCCTTTTTACAGATCGCTTATGACAACTTGGTACTTGGAGCAATACTGATCAATTGCACTGGCACCCCGGCTACATTTACCGAATCTCTCAGAGACAAGGTAAGTAACAGTATCAGTATTCATGGAAGTGGCAGCAACAATAGTTTTTTATTTAAATATAAAAGTTAGAAAATATTTCCGACAGGATGAGATAAACAGCTCTGAAGTAAGATTTTCCTTAATTTCACTTGGGTCGAAAATCCTATAAACAAATTGTTAGTAATGTAGTGGTATCATATTTATGCTTAGGGACTTTGTTTTAGGTAAATAAAAGGATAAGTATAGATCAGATGTTGTCAGCAAAATGTGAGTGACAAAAGTACTTCACTGTTGTCAAATCGCTTTTTACATCTTAGTGATAATATCTGCGACAACTACTCTGGTATAGGAACTCAAAGTTTTGACAAAGGATTAGATTCCTCAAGTTAGCAAACCTGAGGTTAAACAAATTTCTCGAGTAGATTAGTGTTCTTGTTGATTAGATAATAATTTCAATTTCTTTGTTTTGGTGAAAATTGAAAATTCATAAGAATTTTTGATGTACAGAAAGATGGGAAACTCAGAACTATCAATGAAATACATCGTATTCAACCTACTACGCACTGTTATCTATCTTTTCAATTCTAACAATTAGTTTCAGTTTGTAAAGATGCGACATGTTCTCATTTTAAGAGATAAAAGTATTTGTTTACTCGATGGTTAAATGTTCATTCATTCATCTCTGTGACTACATACACGCTTTTTCCTCATAGATACAAGTAAGTGCAATGAGTTATAAATACAAATAGGAAACCGTTCTGTTTAACTTATATACGAATCCACTATGTTGCATACTATGAATGAAACTGAAGTTCAGATGAAATCAGATTATATATATAAAGATTCGTACAAAGAGTATTTTGATTTGTGTAATCGAGGCAGAGTATATTAGAACAAATAACATCGTAAACAAATATTTTGTATTATTCCTCAACTTATCAATCTTGCTAAGAAGATACTTTTCAAGAGTTTGAATCTGGCACTAAGATTTTAGGTTACTATTCAAGAATGGGTACAGAAGATGACTTAAGAATGTTAAAAATTTCCATTTTCAGAACTAGAAGACATAAACGCGAACAGTATTGAATCCAGTTACCTCTTATCATGCTAATATACATAAATTTCCTCATATATAAAAACATCAAACCAATCATGGTGGATTCTTTAGTATGTGGTAACTAGGACATGAAGCATGCAAATAGTAGATATCTAGATAACAATAATAATAATGGGAATAATAATAGTTATCTCAATGATGATAAAAGCAATGGGAACAGCACTGGACTGAAAATATTTAAGCAAACAATGTCGATCAAAACTTAGAAAAACAAAAGTTACGTAGTGCTAAAGGATGAAATGTGTAGATAATCAAAGCCTAAACAAATAAGTAAACATATGTGAAATGGGTGAAGAAAGGGAAAGAGAATGAAAATTGAATTTATATAAAATTATTTATCAGGCAATCTTGCCTGGTTAACTAGTACACTAGTTACCAGCCGGTACTAAGATCGCATAAAGAAGGAAGGTTGGGCATACGAATAGCAACCCTACCTCGTAAAACCAATCCAATCGCTAAAGAAACTTCAAAACACAAAGAAAATATAAAAAATAAAAACAAACTTAATCCTCTCTCCAATCGCGGAGACGATGTGATGCCGGTTGGTGAAAGCCTTCGGGAAGCCAATTGGCCGATCTCTCTACTCTTCCCTCCATGAAAGCGAAAGTAAGATTGGGAACATGGAATATCTGCACTATGTTTGAACCTAGCAAGGCTGCACAGATTGCAAACGAGATGAGAAGTGGTAGGAATCTGCGAAAGCAAGTGGAATGGAAGTGGACTATCCAAACTGTCAACTGAACAGTCAATAATCTACTCTGATTTTGTCATCCAGATGAAAACCATGAGTGCACTGAGTTTTGTAGTGGCTATCATGTTGTTCCCCTCACAAGAGCATTGAAAGCTCTCATGCAATGGGAACTAATCTCCTCCAGCATCTGGATCATAACAGCAAGATTCAAGTGAAAAGGAAGGAAAGTCACAAAAATACAATGCAATGCTACACACCTACAGATAATGCCGATGGAGAGAAGAGGGAGAGATTCTACAGACAACTGCAATCAACACTGGACAACACGTCATTCAAGTTGGTGACATTGAAATTCATTCTAACGGGAGACATGAATGCCAAACACGGAGCGGACAACAAAGGAAGAGAACTGATCATGTGTCGAGAAGCGCTAGGTGAAATGAATGAGAATGGAGACTTGTTTGGAGAATTCTGAGCATTCAACGACCTCTGATTGGAGGCACTGTGTTCAAACACAAGGATATCCACAAAGCGATATGGATTTGATTTCTTCAGATGAACACACCACGCTAAAAATCCGATCGAATTCATCTCAAGAAAGTGGAGAAAGTGGAGATGGAGACGCAGCCTACTGGGCACAAGATCCGATGAAGAAGGGGAGCAGATGTAGGTTCATACCACTAGTTATCTAGTGCAAGGAACCTACCCCCGAAATCAAGTTGAAAGGCTTCAAGGGAGTTTGTGATGATAGACCATAGTTCAAGTTGAACACACAGAACAGAAACTGAACTGAAGGACAAAACTACAGAGGAAATCTTCACGTCAGCCATCAAGACAAAATGAGAGATATCGAGCAGCATTCCTGAATAAACCTGTGTGGAAGCACACTGGAACTCGTAAAACAGATGTGGAAAGAAACCTGCATAACCGTATTAGGAAGGAAGAAGAAGAGGCAAGACAAGGAATGGATCTCGACGGACACATGGAAGCTGATAGATGGGTGAGAGGAGGATGGTGAAGCAGAAGACTAACCAGTGCAAGGATGAGAGACGAGAAGAACGGAGTACAACCTATAAACACTACACTGGACAAAGAAGTGAAGAAGAGTGCTTGGAGAAATAGAAGACACTTCTACGAAACACTGGCAAGTGAAGCAGAACAGGAAGCAGGTAGGAAGAACATAGACCTGACAACATTGTTTCAAATAACCAGCTTACAATCTGGGAGGGAAGAGATCGACACACATGAAACCAATAAAAGATGATGAGGGAGATCTAATTACCAAAGAAGAGAAACAGAGGAAATGATGGTCTGACCACTTCGAAAAGCTCTTGAGTCGACCACAACAACCACTGTCACCTCGTCCAGAAATACCACCTGCAGCCCAGTCACAGAACTACAAGTGAACACAAGCCCTCCGACAAAAGCAGAAGTCCTGAGCTCCATAAAGTTACTGAAATTCAGGAAGGCTGCTGGATCAGATGGAATTCCACCAGAAGCACTGAGAGCAGACACAAAGATAACATCGGACACGCTCACACCACTATTTCAGAAGGTCTGGAAGGAAGGGAAGGTGTCTGCCCACTGATTGATTGGAAGAAGGGTCATCTTGACAAACTCCCAAAGAAGGTTGATCTAAGTCTCTGCAAGAACTGGCGTGGAATCATGCTCCTGTCCACTCCAAGCAAGCAAAATATTAAGCTACATCATCCTGGAGAGACTGAAGGATGCACTGGATTCAAAACTGCGACCGGATCAGGCTGGCTGGATTCAGGAAGTACAAATCATATGCTGACCAAATTGCAACGATTCGCATTATCATAGAACAGAGTATAGAATGGCAGTCAGATGAATCTCTACCCCAAACTCATCGATTTTGTGAAGGCCTTTGACAGTGTCGACCGAGAAGTAATTTGGCGTGCAGCTGCTTCAACACTACGGAATACCACACACCTCTATCAGCCTCATTCAACAGCTGTATGAAGACGCCACATGCCAAGTGACTGCCAATGGACAGGTCAGTGATGCTTTTGAAGTGAAGACAGGAGTGAAACAAGGCTGCCACCTACTATCACCCATTATCTTCCTGATTGTGGTTGACTGGATCATGCGGCAAATAGTGAGGAGCGAGAAGGGGGGATAGGTTGGACCGGGGAAAATATCCTCGAAGATTTGGATTTCGCGGATGACATGTGTTTAATGTCATACGAAGATGAAGATCTACAAGTGAAAACTAACAATTTGACAGAAGAGGTGAGGTAGTAAAGGAAGATGGGACTTCAAGGGAACGTAGAAACGACGGAGTTGATGAAGATACCCAACCAACAAGAATAATGACAAACACCAATCACCATCAGAGGGAGAAGCCTAATGGAAGTAGCCTCTTTCGTCTAACTATTCAGCACTGTTCCAACTACAGGAGGCATATCTGAGGATGTCAAAGCCAGCCAAGTTCGGAAAAGCAAAACAGGCGTTCATTAGCCTGAAACCAGTGTGGAGATCTTCTGCACTCAGCCGTAAAGCGTGAACAACATCCGGATTTTCAACACCAACGTCAATTCAATGCTTCTATATGGTTCATGAACTTGGCGCGTTACGAAAGGGATTTCCAATAAACTACAGACATTCATCAACAACTGCCTACGCTGGCTCGATACTGAAGCTCAGATGACCAGAATAATAGGAATAAGCAACAATGATCTCTGGCTTGACAACAAGCCAATTAATAAGCTATCGCCCAACAAATATTTAGTAAGTAGTGGAGATGGATTGGGTATTCACTGAGAAGGCCGACTGGGGACATCATGCGTCAGGCACTCGGGTAGAACCCAGGTGGGAAATGACGAGTTGGGCTTCCGAAGGTGACATTGAGGAGTTGGTGTGAGGAAGAAATGGGAGCTTGTGGGTAGTCGTGGAGCCAGGTTCAAAAGATTGCAAAGAAGTGAGTGCACTGGAGACGTGCTACTGAAGCCCTATGTTTTACTAGGAACCCATGGGACAGATAATGAATAACAATAATAATAATATTTATCAGATTCGCTCTGGCCAGGGCAGAGATAAAGGCTGCATAAACTTTTTCTGAACACAAATAACTAGCTTTGTTTTCTATAATTTCCACTGACTAAGCTATATGGAAAATCGGGTGTGAATTCTGTTCGAAAGATTTTGTGGAATGCGATAGATGATCTTGAACGCTTTGGTCTTGTCTATTAC